AACCGGAGTTGCGTTGGTGTGAATGAGGCATTAGAGTGGCTGGACCCACACTCTTCCATAAGTGGGTCTAAAAGGACCTGTATTAGAATAATATGTGTTTTTATGCAATTTTTGTCATTTTGGTTAGAAAAATCACTTGTATAATATTTAGTATTATATTTTGGTTCACACTAGAAATATTTTATATTTAATTTGTCAGTATTTTTCAGTATTTTGAATTTTTTTTACATTTTGAAAAAAAACGTTTTGAACATATCGATGCAAAGATCTCCGCTATTCTGAGACCCTCACAGTATTCCAGTCCCTTTTCAAAACTCATCTCTACTCCTCTTGTCTAGCCCCCCCATCAATCCATGCTGGTTGATCAAGTTTGATAGTCCTATTTTGAGTCCTTGAAAAGCTCTATACAAATATAATGTATTATTATTATTATTATATTGACAGGTTTCAGATCTTGCTGTGTAAAATAATCTTCCTGAGAGGTGTCACGTGTGATGTCGTCTGTGTGGTCTACAATGAATGTAGTCCTGGCAGCAACAGGTGATAAGAATCAAAGGTTCCCAGAGGATCCCATAGGAAATGCATGCAAGTGATTTTTGACCCACTTATGGAAGCTTGGGGTAGAAATACAAAAACTACTATTTCTTAAAATCTTAAAATATAAATTAAACATTTCAATGGCATGATATCCAAAACATGTTTTTTGAGGAATAGCTGGAATATGAAATTATACTTTTTTTAAATTACAAAGATACTTTAAGAAAACCACGTCACCGGGTCCAAAAAGACCCACTTATGCATCTAAGGGTTAAATATAACAGTAAACACTTTGTCTATGAATCATTGATCAGTTTCTCTTAAGGGAATTAGAAGTTCCTCCACATGCATAGGACAATACAACGTTTGAATCTTTGATCTTGTTTCCTACCTTGCAGAGGGATGCTGAGCACCCCCCCGCCCTGACCTCCGATCCTCAGGGTGCTGCTGGAGGTGAACGTCAGGCGTTTGGCGGGCGACGACATCGGGCTCAAGGTCGCAGTCAGCGGCGCCGGACAATCATCGCCGAAGAGACGCCGCTTGGCGCTGCCTGCCGCCGGAGAGCTGTACCTGTCGTGGAGCGACAGCGGGGAGGGAGGCACGTCTGGAGGAAGGGGACACGAGAGTTAAGAGACTTTTGACCCAATGAGTTTAAAACAGTATATTCAACATCTCCAACTCCCCAAGGTGGATATTGCATCCCCCATTGTTGTTTGTTTTTCATGTATTGTGTCTATTGATGTTACACGGAGCTGCTGTGATGCAAGTAACCTTTCTATATGTAGTAACGTGTTCTCTTTCGTCCTTTCACCTCGATCCAGGGTTCCTGCAGGTTTTTCCAACTCAAATGTAAGACTTTTTAAGACCCCGCGGGATCCCTGTCTATCTACTTGTCTTTCATCCTTTCTTCATAACTAATGCTGTTGATGTGTTGTGATTTAAAAAAGGTGTCTGTTACCATGTGGCCCGGACAGCAGCTGGAAATTAGCATGTTGGCTAAAGCTAACGCCCCATTTACCGTTTTTGGTGACAGTTGATCAATGGGGTCTGTCCAGATAAACTAAACAAACAAACAAGAAGGGTAGGTGCTTCCGTATTTTGATGAACTGCTGTCACACGTATTTTATCCCTACAGTAATACATTGAAACTGTTGGAGCTATATATCGCTTTAAATGATTTGATACTTAAACATTTATTTTGTTGCTGTTATTGTTTATAGTAAATGTATTCTTAGTTATTGTTGATATTAAAGTTGTTTCTTTGCTTATATGTTTGGGCGCTGGGTGAGTAGAGCACCCGGTGTAATTGTATATATTGGAGTAGAGCACTAGAAGGCATTTGTTTTTTTACCAGGGTGTTTCAAGCCATAGGAAAGGCTTCAGGAAATAAATATAGGAAACCTGTTCATTGTTCTATGTTAATGATATTGGATGGAATAAAATGTACAAACGGAGATTCTTGTCTGGACTTGGATCAGTGCCCTGCGTAAGATTCGATAACTGGTGCCTCAGTTATTTTAAGTTAATTATCTGTTTTTATTTCTACATTTCTACACTACTAAACACCTTAAAGTCAAAGTCAACGTTATTGTCAATCTTTCAGTTTGTGTGTACAGACAGAGAGATCGAAATACCGTATCCCACAATCCTGAACCCCTGAACCCCTGAACACCTGAACCCCTGAACCCCTGAACCCCTGAACACCTGAACCCCTGAACCCCTGAACACCTGAACCCCTGAACACCTGAACCCCTGAACACCTGAACTCCTGAACACCCACCTTTGCGTGCGCTGCCCAGGCCCGATCGGAACTCTTTGATGCGGGGGTGGATGATGGGCGAGAGGGCGAGCATCGGGAGGTGAGACTG